CAATCCTTTACAAACATTCTTGTGCATACACGTACGGTTTTACTAACTACCTCAGTCAAAGAATTATAGGTGCAACATGCGAGTTTACGGAATGCAAATGTGCGAATTCGAATACGAATGCGAATGTTAGGAATAACATTAAAAAAGCTATAACCAACTTAAGTCATCGTTTATATTACTTAAAAATTTTGTGAATTATTAGAAAATCGAGTGCTTAACGTATACAGTGTTTTAATCTAGTAGTCAGTTCAAAAGGGGCATATTATACATATGTCAAAAAAAGTAATTTTGCTGCCTTTTCTCCCATGAGGCGATTTCTTAGAGACTCGTATATGAGGACGGCCGCACTGAAGAATTGCTCACTTGCAACGCAGACGAGTGGAGCGCGTAAATATTTGCGGGCCAGATCTATAAATTTGTCATATTTTAGTTTAGTTTTCCACAAATCGAGAGGATTTTCACCGAGATGAGCTCATTTTTCTTTATGACAGGCCATCAATTGAGCTTTAATTTCACATTTTCTAATGTCTCCACATTCGAGCCTTCGCTTTCGCTGGAGGAATCTAAAATTATATCTAGGTTGCTTATAAGACTTTTAGCAGTACTTGTTGAAGGCCCATCAATGTTGCTTGATATACTACTTATCCGTTTAGCGCCTGAAGCTAAAAGCCGGTTATTGCCCGCACCCTGGTTAGACAGACTTAGAGCCATTTCAACAATATTAGGGTGGACTCTCTGCCCATGTTCACATTTGCATTCGCTAAACATTCACATGCCACGCTTGTGGTAAACGCACACTGTTTTTCAGTTTACTATAAACGCCACGCCCTTTTGTATAAACTCATTTGTATGCACTTACCAAAGATCTTCTCACCAAATTTCAAATTATAGCGAATGCAAAATTCCACGGCTATGGAATGTGCGGCCTTTTACAAACTTATTTATATTTACCGCGCTATAAGCGCCTACCTTAGATAAGTCTTCACACCAAATTTCGAAGTCATGTGATTCTTAAGTCCTGAAGTTAAAGCTGATTAATTTTTTACGCCTGTGGGATGTTCCGCGCACCTTTTGCAAACTTATTTATATATATCGTCGTTTAAAGTACAAAACCGCGTATCAACAAAAATGCAAAACCGCGTATGTGAATTATGTAAATTATTTTCTAGAGAGTAAAAACACGCATTTTTCAAAATGGTTATCGTTTTTTTATAAAGCAATCGCATTTCTGGCTAGTATATTTCAGAACGAATGGATTAGGATTGAGAAAAGAGCTTGTATGAGAAAATCCAATTTTTGGCAGCAAATGTCAGTTACGCGGTTTTGCAGAATGACGATACGCGGTTTTGTACTTTAAACGACGATATGGATACTTTATTTTTAGCATCTATCATAGATCTGTTGTCACGCCAAAATTTCGACATGTGACTTACTGTTCCGAAGTTATTGCCGATTAAAAATTTCACGCCTATGGGAGGTACCCAATATCCGAGGTCACTGTCTAGATAACAGTTAAAGCCCCATGAAAATCCATTCTGTAGTTCCTGTAGTGAGTTCAAACAGGCAGACAAGAATTCTAAAAATGGTCCAAATATATTCTATTATATTCCCCGGATCACCTTCGGTCATTCTTTTACAGAAATTTTCAATGTACAGACGCACATTTCTAGAGGTTTAGTATATTCTATTAGATAGATATTTTTTGTTTGAGTTAATGAATGTGAATCTAGGACGATTTATTATTAAATTTTCATTTAACTTTTGCACATATAGTTTTTTGACTTAAGCATTTTGTTAAGTGTTTGCTTTAAATTGCATTCGTTATACAAATAAATTAATTGCTCAGATTGCAGCCACACACGTATGAAAAATTTGAGTTTATAAATGCAATTAAGATGTTATCAAATGATGGAAACAAACAAATGAAAATGGGTTAAATATCTTCTTAGATTAGTTACATTTCCTCTATTTGGAAATGAAAAGATTGTGAGTTCATGTGTGGATCAGTACTATACGTACAACCTGACCGCAGCGAAACACCAACATGGCTTCCCCTAAGTGTACAGACCACAACAGCACTTAACGACATAAGCACCCATGCCAGGTTTATGACCTAGCATATTCGCGCCGCTAGATTCGATTAAAATCGCTAATAGTGATCAAATTTATAAGGCGGTGTTTATGATGCAGCGTTTAACGGCGCCATACAAATTATTGTAATTCATCGCTGATAGCGATTTTTTCGCATCGCACGTTGCGAATTCGCTAGGTTATAACCGAAACCGAGGGGGAGCCTACCCCAGGCACATCAGAAGAAATCTTTTCAATTAAAAGGACGCTGTCCAGACTTACATTGTCCAACTACTGGACCCGACAACGTACAGACGAGCGACAAACAGTATTCATAAAGAGTCGGTCACCATCTACCCCGCCTCTCCGAAACGCCCGATAACGAACTGAGCATTGATTCCAACTTAACGATATCCATCAAGCTCCATGGCTGCCTCAGAATGGAAATATACAAGAAAATACAAGGAACCCAATCGTTCATGTGGTGATAGACGGAAGGCACGCTTTCAGTATGGACACTTCCACTACCCAACATCGAACATGGGAACATGGTGTTGTTAAAGCCAAGATACGCGAATGACCCGATGCAGCAAAAAATTTGCGTACACTAAAGCAAGGTCGAAAAGCTGCAATCATAACAGACGGCCAATTTATTTGCCACTCGAGACGGACACCTGCTCTCTGAATGTCACTAAAAACATAAACAGAGGGCAGCGTTGATCCGGATCAACTCGTCAATTTGGAATTATCTCGGGAATTAACTGCAGTTGATCCGGATTAAGTCCTAGAGTTAATCCCCAAACTTAATCCGGATGAAGGTAATATTCGATGACAACACTGACCAAAACTTAGAGCGTAGAATACAGAGAAAGGGCAAAACTGACATGAACATATACCTTTTCATCGGTAATGCAGTCACCATACTAATTTAAATAGTAATCCCATTGAAATTGAAAAAGAACTTATTTGAATTAATAGGGTGACTGCATTACCAACGACAAGGTGGATGGATGTCATGCTAGTTTTGAATTTTCTTTATGTTCTACAAACAAAGCAGCCAACCACTTTATCCGCTATAGTCGAGTGATGAGGGCTGCGTACTACAAGTCTGCAGGTCCCAGGTTCGATCCTCGGTTGGAGCGATTGCCAAAAAATCTTGTTTTTATTTTTACTTAATTTTTTTTTTAAATTTTATTTGATTACTAAATTTAATTTTACTTTATTTTATTTTCGTTTGTTTTATTTTACATCAAATTTTTTATTTTGTTATTAGTTAATTTAAATTTTTAGAGTTTAATATTACTAGAAAAGTCAAAGGCAACTAACTAAAAACAACTTTAAAAAATATAGTTATAATTGAATGAATAAAAAAAATTAAATGAATATTCTACTGGCCGTGGAATTCGAACCTACGACCTCGCGGCTCATACATAAATCCGCATTACTGCCGTCTGTCAAGGCACAATTTTGATCAGATCAATTGCGCCGTTAATCCGGATCAACGTTGCCGTCTGTCTTTGCTTTACGATGGAGAGAAAAAAGATGCCACCGAGCGCAAGCTATGAGGGAACGTTATGGGGAACTGAAGAGGGAAGCGAGACATATTGGCCCGCCAGGGAAAGCGCCCGCAAATTTTTTCCAGAGAATTAGGCCACTTAAGGAAAATTTCAAGACCTGGGCGAACTCATGTAAGAACAACCATGGTGACCTAATTACCGATGTCCAGAACGTACTTAAATTATGGAGGGAACACATTTACACTCTATCGAATGGCAGCAGCACTGAAAGTATTGGATACGACGAATTCGAACTTCTAGGCAATGAGAACATGTGATGAGGCGGCTCTTGGAGTGTATTGCGCGTTGGCGACGGAAAATACTGCAGACGAGTGAACGATGAGCTGTATGAGCTTTACGCCGACATATGTACATACGTAGAGGCAGTGCGGCGGATTAAAATACAGCAGCTCCTCCAGCTCGGACTTGTCGTACAAATGGACAGAAACGCTCCAACTCAGAAAATATACAACGCGAATCGCGCTGTTGCCAACGGAGGTAGAGGAAGGCCTCCTCTACGGTGGAAAGACCAGGTGGAGAAGGTTTTGGCTTCACTTGGAATTTCTAATTGGCGTCAGCTGATATAGAAGCGAAATGGCCGGCGTGCTTTTTTGGACTAGGCCAATCAAGAAGAATAAGAAATTGAAATTGCCTCTGTATTTTACAACAAGAAGATAATAAAGAAATAAACCAAATCTGGTTCAGTAGGATAGTGGGATTATTTATTTAAAACTGCAAGGCCAAGAATTTAAAAAAATTACATAATTCTTAAAAGTTTATACGTATTCACGCAATTTTAAGATCATTTACAACTTTAACTTTCGTTCGAATTGAGGGTCAGTACGTAAAAGTGACTCCTAAAGCTTTAAATACTACCGGTTATTTCCAAAATTAAAATAAATGATATGACTTTTTGTGAAATGATCTTTTTATAGATGTGCGAAATCAGCTGGCAAATATTTGCCGTGATCTTGAAGTGCTTAACCGTAGCGCGAACAAAATCCATGGGATCGTAGTAAACAAATAAATTTAAAGGTTGCCGCCCAGCTAAGGTAATTGACAAAATTGTGGAGTGGATAAACAAAAGAAAGTCGTAAAAAGATATGAAGCAGCCTTCAGTAAAGTTTTTTGACACTTAGCGCTGGCAATATGTTCTAGCTACTATGCTTTTTTTTTGTTTTGTAATGCGTTTTTAGCATAAAAGCGTATGGGCGTCTAGCGGAGATAAGCGGTAATGCGCAGATAAGAGCGAAACTAATGAAAGTTTGCCGTAGTATAAAACGTTAAGAATTTCGAAAATATGTTATCATTTATTTAGTTACCAGCAAACAAGCTACTTACTCAACTTAAATTTTAACTTCTTATTTGCCAAAAATGCGTGGATTTTGCATTCTTTTGATTTTCAGTCTTTGCCTTCGATATGCCAGCTACGCTTCTCCAGCCACTCAAAATGAAAATCATGCTGTCGAGGTAGGTGGGGAGGACGACGAGGAGGATTGGTTTAACCTCGACGGTCGTATCGTTGGTGGTTTGCCCACTTCTATCCTCTATTTTCCTTACCAAGTATCGCTGCAGTACAAAAGCCAGCACATTTGTGGTGGAGCCATCATACGACCCAACGTCATCATTACCGCAGCTCACTGCGTTGAGCCATCGATGGCGGTGAATGCATTCAAAGTGCGTGCCGGCTCTTCGCAACATGCATATGGTGGTCAATTGCGCACCGTACAACGCATCTTTAGGCATGAGGACTACTCTAGTGCTACCTACAATCACGACGTCGCGCTGTTGCAGCTCGAGCAAGACTTGATATATACGCAAGCGGTGAAACCAGTACAATTGGCAGAATTGAATGCAGTTTTGTCTGCACAAGCGAAGCTGTACGTTAGTGGCTGGGGCCTAACAAGCGAGACGGGCTCTGTTTCATCGGCGTTGAACTACGTGGATGTGAATCTTATATACCAAGAGACGTGCATGCAGAATTACAAGTACGTTGTGCCCATCACCGCAGAAATGTTCTGCGCTGGCTACAGAAATGGTGGCAAGGACGCTTGTCAGGGTGATTCCGGTGGCCCGCTGGTCGCGTACTATCGTGGTGTGGCGAAATTGTATGGTATTGTGTCGTGGGGTGTGGGTTGCGCACAAAAAGAATATCCGGGTGTGTATGCCAAGGTGCCCGCTTTGAGACCGTGGATTGATGAGAAGTTGGCGAGTATTGACAAATGAAGCGGAATTATTTAAATGGGCGTAGGTAGTTTTAATATTTATATAGTTTAAATAAAAAATTTAATTTATGGAAAATGTCCCTTCTGTGGAGAAATTTAATTAAAGCAACTTTCATGCCACGTCCAGGCAATGAATTCGGATGAGTCAGGTTTGAATTAATCGAATGGGTAATATATTTTGGGAAGCTTCTTAAGACCGTAGACAAAGCAAGGTTAAGGTAGTTGCCATTACCAATATAGTTCAGAGAGGCAAACTTATGCCAGTTTGTGATGCCACTGGATATCTTTTGTTTTGTCATGCGGCGGAATCATTGTTTTGCCTTATTCAAGCGGTAAGAAATCATCTTAAGCGACAATCGCATTTTTGAGTGAATGGCTATCTTAATAAGCATAATTGCTATATAAGGGGTGCCGGCATTGGCCAAAAAAGCTGGCCAATGTTTTAAAAATTGTGCGAAATTCAAAAAAAATATCACCGAAATGTTCAAAGTTATATTTATTTTGTATGCAGTTTTGTAGCCTATTCAATTTTAGTGATGTGCAAGTTTAAAGTGATTAAAATTATCGTTAATTTTTGATATTTTTGCTGCCGGTGTTTCGCATGTTTTTTTTTCAAAACATATAACGAATGCTCGAAAAGTTGTTTATATGGAGGAAAATGCGGAACACCGCTATCAAAAATCAATGATCACCAACGATGAGCCCCACTGTATGTATCTAACGAGCATTTCATTGGCTTGTTTTATATTTTCATGCTCTTTTAATGTCCGCTTATAAGCAGTTCGCGTTTGTCCGCGAGAGGTTTTTGTTTGATTTCGCTATGAATCTTAATGACCATTGATGAAAAGTTCAACGCAATAGAGGTGTTTGTGTCAATTTTGTAAGGCCTAACGGTAAAGAACGGCTAATTTATTCCGAAAATTATACCCAAGAATTGGTACAGGAATATACCAAAGGAAGTGTCCGTTTAGAGAGCTTACACTGTAATTTAATGAGCTGTTTTCATTCAAAGGCCGGCTCAGCAGCATCGGTACAAAATTCCATTTAATCAACGTATATACATAACTATGTATATCGTAGGTCCTACGACGTAGGGGATTGTACAGCTCCGCGTATGTTTTGAGCAGCTTTTAAATCTTCGAAGACATAAACAAATGGTGTAAATAGGCTTTAGCATGGAATGCCGAGCAAATTCCACATTTCGTTATAGCTGTTTTACATATTCGACGATGTTGTCATTTTAATATGAAAGATATAGGCCAGCGAAGTGCTCTTGAAACGCTACAAAAATTTATATTTTCTGTACAATAGTTCCATTGCGTACATATGTACTATCAATATTTTTACCAGTTTTGTCTACTTTTCTTTTGCTTTATTTTAGGTTCATTATTTTAATATAAAAGTATAGCTCTTTAAAACCATATATGTATGTACATAAATATAAATTTCTGACAAAATATTTTTTAGGGTATGTATGTATGGAAGAATTTTCGAACGTACGTTGTGTGGAAGAAAATGCGTGACACTGCAAGAAAAAATGTCAAAAATCAAGGGCTTTTTCACCAACTTGAAACTTGCACATTATTGTACTAAAATTGAATGCCGATTTTTTGTAAGAATTCTAGATACAAGTTTGAAACTTTGGTGGAACTTTGCAGAAGTTGTATAATTTTTTGCAAAATGCTAGCTCGCTGGTGGGAGTGACGGTTACGCCGAATGGATGCTTTTGTAGAGCATTCAATTCTGAAGAAAATCCATCATTGACCAATATTATACCAAAAAATACCTCTGAGCTGGAGAATTTTGAAAGAAAAAAACATGCAAACTAGTATTTTAAATGGGGAATCTTCTAATACCTATTAGGGTCATTAAAAATTGGAACTTTTTCGAATTTCGACTGAGAACGTTCGGATTCTTGAAGACAAGAGGGAAGACAAGTTCCTTCTAAAATTTCAGTTTATTTGAACAAGGTTTAGAGATCGCTCAATGCTGTTGTTTGTTTTCCGCAAACCACAAATTTTAAATGCATCTTTATAAACAAATAGGTATATTTTCATCAAATCTTGGCGGATTTCGCTGAAATTTCGTAAGTAGATTCCAAAATATCAGTTTGATTGAACATAGTTTATATAAGTTCGATAAATTAATTTTAAACGCATTTATTAATTAGTTGGTAATTAAGTTTTGCCTTATAAACAATTAATATTTGCAATAATCTTTTTTTTTTGTTCCCGGACCAGTGAGCATATGCTAAATACATCTACGATCACATTATAATTCATGTCTATAGTGGACCTCAGCATTACATA